ATTTTCAACTTAATTAGGTCAAAATATCTTCCTTTTGTATATAAGATTCTTTCAACTTAATTAGTTTTTCATTTCAATTTAAGGATTTCTTTAAGATTTTACAAATTTTCAGTTTTCTTGTTTTTTTTCTCATTTTTATTTAGAAACGAAATAGAAAAGGTTTGAAAAGAGTTAAAAATGACTGGAAAAATCGAGGAAAAAAAGGTCCGAAAAGAGTGAAAAAATGATTGAAAATTGTCAAAACTAAGGATAGAAAATTTTCGGGATAATTTCGTCAGAAAAAAAAACAACCAGTTAAAATGGTTTGACTAACGGAATTAGAAAAAAGGCTAACGGCAGAGGGTGTTTGACGTTTACTATTATACATTAGGGGTATAAATGATACATTTCGCATAGTTCAGAGGGTGAAAAATTAATCCTACCCTTACAACTTTAGCCTTTCGTTTTTCTTTGAGAAATTTAAAGATCATAGATTTGCAAGTGTTTTTTGAAATGTGTTTTACAAAATATTTTGAAAATAAAAGTAATACTTCCTTTGTTCCTTTTAAACTATCATTTGGGGATTAAAGATATCACTAAATGTGCCTTAATTTTATGAAAGTATATGCTTTTAGACTAAAATATCCTTGTCTTTTAATTAATAAAAAAGATAAATGAGTAAAGAAAGATAGTATTAGAGAGAGTTAATAAGGGCATAAATTGAATATTAAGTATTTAATGCAACATTATAAATCTAAAGTGACAGATAATATAGAGAGAAAAAAATATCTAAAGAACGATAATTATGAAACATAATTTGTTTGTATTTTGGGAGCGGGAGTTTCATCGTGGAAACGAAGTCATGTTTGAATGTATTGAAAGCTTAATACTTTTGAGAGGATTAAATTTCTTTTGAAATAAAGTAAAAGTTTTTTTTTTTTTTTTTTTTTTTTTTTTTGTATTTTCATGGAGACATTCTTTAGTATACTAAAATAATGTTTCGGTTTCAATTTAGTTTTGGTTGAGCAAATGTGGTGTACATACATAATATGGAATAATTACATTTTTAGTCCTTTTGTAATACCACAAAATTGATTCCAGTCCCCATATTTTCTAAATTAAATTCTAGTTCTCAAACAAGCCATTATTTTGCAATTTCGGCTGTCTTCCGATTTGTGTGTTAATTTTGACGGAAAAACCACATTTAGAGCATAGAGTATGCTGAAATAACATCTTCAACTCCTTTCGTATCTCAACATTTTGTTTAACCTCAATTTCACTTTATTCATTGAATTTCGTAAGAAAAAAAATATATAAAATCCCTATAAATTATCCATGTTGGAATCCTCTTTTCTCTCCATGCTGGTATTGCATAGGCACCAAAAGAAATAGAATTATTTATATTTGTTTGTATATTAGAAGAAACAGTTATTATTCTAGCTGTCATGCATGGTTTTGGATGAATAGAAGAAAAATATATATATATATATATATATTATGAGATAGTTGTTTGGGGAATAAAATAATATTTATTTGTAACTGACTAGTTATTTATACCGAATGAATATTTCTAGATTTTTATTTAGTTTTGGCAGAAGAAACTCGCACTCGGTCTATAAGATTCTATATCTGGTGCAGAAAAGCACCGGGTGATTCTGCACCATAAATCTATACAATAATAATGTTGTTGTTATAATAATATTATTGTCACTCACAATAATATTAGTTTTTTTGGCTTTTTATTATGCTTACCTTTGTTGAACGATCAACATATTAATATTACTCTATTACACAATACTAATGAGTTTTGTTTTGTTAATATTACTGTGATAGAGATTAATATAGCAATATTACTGTGTTAAACTGTAGTATAGTTAATTTTACTGACTTTTAACAGTAATGTAGTTAATATTACTGTTAATCACAACAATATTGTTGTTTAAACGGGGGGCAAAAAGATGTTAAAAAAGAAAAAAAAATTCGAAAAAGTCAACGCCGGAAACCGGTAGCGGAAAAATCAGGAAGAGAAAAAAAAATCAACGCCGAAAACGGGCGAAAAAATCAGGAAGAAGAAAAAAATAAAAAAAATAATAAAAGGCGGAGACCGGCAGTCAACGGCGGTGACGGACGAAATTGTCTGATGCAGAACTGGCGGAGCCGGAATTGTGTGGGGTCAAGTTTTTCCGAACCGAAACGACGAGGGGAGTTAAACTCACAGCTAGCCCGTGACGTGCGATGGATTTTGGCGAGGTGGCGGAGCCGGAATTGTGTGGGGTCAAGTTTTTCCAAATCAGAACGACGAGGGAAGTTAAACTCACAGGTACGCTGTGACGTGCGATGGATTTTGGCGAGGTGGCGGAGCCGGAATTGTGTGGGGTCAAGTTTTTCCGAACCGGAACGACGAGGGGAGTTAAACTCACAGGTACGCCGTGACGTGCGATGGATTTTGGCGAGGTGGCGGAGCCGGAATTGTGTGGGGTCAAGTTTCCCCGGACCGGAACGACGAAGGGAGTTAAACTCACAGCTAACCCGTGCTAAGCGTGTGAACGAGCCGAGCTCGAGCCGAGCTCGCTTCTTTTGGCTGGCTCGAGCTCGAGCTCGAGTCTATTTTGTCGAGTTCGAGCTCGTCGAGTTCTTCTTTTTTTGGCTCGAGCTCGAGCTCGTGTTAATTTTGTTGAGCTCGAGCCCAATCTCTTTTTTTTTTTTTTAAATATTTTTTAATTATTAAAAATTATTTTTAAAAAATACAAAATAAAAACTAAATTGTGATTATATATTTTTTTAATATTTGTATTTATGTCTATAATATTATATATTATTATACATTATTTAAATAAAAATAACATATAAAAAATAAATAAAAATAAAAAAATAATAATAAATCCGGCTCGCGAGCTGGCTCACGAGCTGATGAACAACTAAAATCCGGCTCGATCTCGGCTCGTCAGAAAGCTCGAGCTCGCGAGCTCGAGCTCGAGCTCGAAAACCTCGAGTCCGAGTTCGAGCTTTTTACGAGTCGGCTCGTCGAGCTCACGAGTCGGCTCGGCTCGTTTACCACCCCTAGCCGTGACGTGCGATGGATTTTGGCGAGGTGGCGAAGTCAGAATTGTGTGGAGTCAAGTTTTTTCGAACCGGAACGAAGAGGGGAGTTAAACTCATAGGTACGCTGTGACGTGCGATGGATTTTGGCGAGGTGGTGGAGCCGGAATTGTGTGGGGTCAAGTTTTTTCGAACCGGAACGACGAAGGGAGTTAAACTCACAGCTACGCCGTGACATGCGATGGATTTTGGCGAGCTGGCGAAACTGGAATTGTGTGGGGTCAAGTTTTTCCGAACTGGAACGACAAGGAGAGTTAAACTCACAGGTACACCGTGATGTGCGATGAATTTTGGCGAGGTGACAGGGCCGGAATTGTGTGGGGTCAAGTTTTTCCGAACCGGAACGACTAGGGAAGTTAAACTCACAGGTACGCCGTGACGTGCGATGGATTTTGGCGAGGTGGCGGAGCCGGAATTGTGTGGAAATCAAGTTTTACCGAACCGGAACGACGAGGGGAGTTAAACTCACAGCGTTGTGACGTGCGATGGATTTTGGTGAGGTGGCGGAGCCGAAATTGTGTGGGGTCAAGTTTTTCCGAACCAGAACGACGAGGGGAGTTAAACTCACAGGTACTCCATGACGTGCGATGGATTTTGGCGAGGTGGCGGAGCCGAATTTGTGTGGGGTCAAGTTTTTCCGAATCGGAATGACGAGGGGAGTTAAACGTTTCGAGGTCGTTTAGGCCATCAAAACGACGTTTTTGCTATTTTAGGAAAATTTTAAATAATTCATAGTTAATTCTAGAAAATTCGGATTTGAATTCCGCAAGTTGGGATGTTTCCAATTTTCGGTATTCTACTAGGTTTAGGGATTATTTCGTTTTTTTGCTTTTTTTGGTAATTTTCTCGTTTTCCTAGTTTGATTAGATTTTTTTTCGTTTTCTTTAGTATAAATAGTTGCTTTAGGGTTTATTTTTCAACATCTTTAATTAGTAATAAAATTTCTGTGTTTTTTCTCAATTATCTGGTGAATTCCAGAGTTATCGTGTTCTATAGGATTAATTTGTAGAAATTAATTTTTACCGTGCTTCCGTTCTGCGTCATTGTTCATAAAAATGTCTTACCAAAAAAACATATAAAATCCCTATAAATTATCCATGTTGGAATCCTCTTTCCTCTCCGTGCTCGTATTGTATAGGCACCAAAAGAAATATAATTAATTATATTTGTTTGTATATTAGAAGAAACAATTATTATTCTAGCTGTCAAGTGTCATGCATGGTTGGATGTATAGGATAAAAATATATATATTATGATATAGTTGTTTAGGGAATAAAGTAATATTTATTTGTAATTGACTAGTTATTTATACCGAGTGAATATTTCTAGATTTTTATTTAGTTTTGGAAGATCAAATTGACGCTCGGTCTATAAGATACTACATCTGGTGTAGAAAAGCATCGGGTGATCCTGCACCATAAATCTATACAAATAACTATACATTCAATACACACATACATGAGTGTGTATGTGTGTATGTGTATGTGTTATTATGTGTAGATTAATGGTGTATTTCAACAAGTATAACATCTTTAGGACTCGATGCTGTATCGAATGCTACACCCAGTGAAAAACACGGAATAATCCTGCACATGACATGGTCTTGGTCTTCACTTCAATCTCTTTCTTTCCTCTTTCCTATTTACACTATCAATGTCTTTTTTCTTTTCATTTTTTCTCCTTTTGTTTTTTTATTCTTTTTTCTATTTCCTTGAAAATTCAAATAGTCTATTACTTGCGACATTTCCATTTAATTTAATTTTGAAATTGACCCATTCTACAATTTTCTAGCTAGCTAGTTCAATCAAGAACCAATAAATTTGACATCTAGACAAAATAGTCCCAGTCAACTTGGCCCCCTTGGCCCCCTTACTCTATTATTTAATTAAAGTGAGTAGACTATACCGCGTGGACCATTAATTATATATATATATGCTTATATCATTCTCTTTTTCTCTCACACAACAAATCCTTTCATTAATCTTCAATCATGGGTTACTACACGTTGTTTCTCACACTAACGTGTGTACTATGTTTCAATACAATTTTTGTAAGATCAAAAGATAGCAATTTACAAACATATATTGTACATGTTGAGTTGCCTTCATTCCCAACTCTAACCACTAGTAGTCTTCTTACGGAAGACTTGCAAGCCTATTACCAAACATTTCTAGCGTCCACTTTATCAGCCTCGTCGCCGTCGACCGATGAGCCGAGCATAATCTACTCCTACCATAACGTTTTCCATGGCTTTTCGGCCCGATTATCGCCCGAGCAAGTTAAAGCAATGGAGAAAAAGCCCGGTTTCATCTCGGCTCGGCCTCAGAAGACACTCTCCCTCCACACAACCCATTCACCCAACTTCTTGGGCTTGAATCAAAACACCGGATTTTGGAGGGATTCGAATTACGGTAGAGGCATGATCATCGGAGTATTGGACTCCGGTGTGAACCCTAACCACCCATCGTTCAACGACGATGGGATGCCCCCGCCCCCTGCTAGGTGGAGGGGGCGGTGCGAGTTCAACTCCACCATTGCGCGGTGCAACAACAAGCTCATCGGTGCTAGATTCTTCACGATAGGCGACGGGACCCCGTCTGATGAGGACGGGCACGGGACCCACACCGCCAGCACCGCAGCCGGGAATTTCGTGCCGGGCGCCAACGTGTTCGGCAATGCGAACGGAACTGCGGCTGGGGTCGCACCTCTCGCTCATGTAGCTACCTATAAGGTTTGTACTACTACTTGCGAGGAGAGCGATATAGTGGCTGCGATGGATGCTGCAATCGACGACGGCGTCGATATCATTTCTCTATCACTCGGTGGGCCCGCTCAAGATTTTTTTGGTGAGAACATTGCGGTGGGGGCTTTTAGTGCAATCGAAAGAGGTATATTTGTGAGCGCCTCGGCCGGAAACAATGGCCCATTTTATGGTACTGCCCAAAATGGTGCTCCGTGGATTCTCACCGTTGGGGCTAGCTCGGTCGACCGGAAAATCCGGGCGACCGCAGTCCTCGGTAACAACGAAGAGTTAGACGGAGAATCGACATTTCAGCCTTCCGATTTTCCGACGACTCTCTTGCCTCTTTTTTACAGCCCGAACGACTCATTTTGCTCGCCCGCGTCTTTGAGAAGCCTCGATCTTCAGGGGATGATCGTTTTGTGCGATAACGGAGGAGGGATCGGACGAATCGCGAAAGGCCGGGCCGTCAGAGCCGCCGGTGGTGCCGCCATGGTAATCGTCAACCAACAACGTCAAGGCTTCACCACAAACTCCGATTCCCACGTTCTCCCGGCCACACATCTCAGCTACACCGACGGGTTGAGAGTCAAGGCCTATCTAAACTCAACGGCGTCGCCGACGGCCACGATTTCGTTCAAAGGGACCGTAATCGGCGACGACCGCGCCCCGCAGGTCGCGGCGTTTTCCGCACGGGGCCCGAACCCGCCGAGCCCCGGCATCTGAAGCCCGACATATCG